GTGGGGTGGCCACATGCGTCCGCCACACCCAGTACAAGCGCTTCGTGGCCCCATAGGAAGCTCCACCTAAGGCCCCTGTGGCACCGCCCGCATGCGTCCCCCCCACCCATTACGGCACGTCCCTCACGCGTTTCGTGGCCCCAGGGAGTTCCACCTAAAGCGGCTCCCGCAATGCGTTACTCACAACTGCATATGGCTGGGTCCTTCGCCAGGATAATTTTTGGAGCGTTGGCTCTCTGGGTTTCCTGGCTCTTGCCAGGCGCGCGGGGGCGCGCGCCTGGCGGCGCGCCGCCAGCGGCGCACCCTGGCGCTCGGGCGAAGAGAACTGTGCACGCGCACCGATGTTGGCCAGGCCCATCCTGGGTCCAGGATCGGTGCAGGTTCCCCCTCTGGCCGAGTCCCTCCTCCTCCTCCTCCTCCTCCTCCTCCTCCTCCTCCTCCTCTTCCTCCCTCCTCCTACTCCTCCTCCTCCCTCCTCCCTCCTTCTCCTCCTCCTCCTCCTCGTGCAGATGCCCCCCTGGCCGAGAGTCCTGGGCCAGGGTGCGCCTGGCCAGAGTCGCTGTGCGTGTGCAGTGCTCTTCCCTCTGTAGGCGCACTCCCACGGCGACGCGCCGGCGGGCCTGCCGCCGCCCGCGCGGGCGGCGTACGGCCTGCAGCGCCGCGTGCGGGCCGCGCCGGGGCGGGAGGCCGCCGGCACGGGCGGCGCCCTGAGGCCCGGAGGGGGGGGGCCAGCTCGTCAGTCGGGAGCCTCGAGACGGGGGTCAATGCAAACGGGGGTCAGCCAGGGCGCCAGATCCTGCAGGATCCTGCGAAGACCCCTCTGGCTGACCCGGGTTAGGGAGCCGCTCGTGGCCGCGAGGCGGCCGCGCGTATTGGCTGACCCGGGTCTGCGAGGACCTGCGGTGCAGTTTTTTTTTTCTGCAATGCAGTTTTTTGTTTCCTGCTGACCCGGGTCTGGATTGACCCGGGTTAGAAGATCCCCGAGTCAGCGAGGAGGAAATCGACTAGACGTAAGAGTGACCGTTCGCCGGAGTGGCCTTTGGTGCGGGCCGAAGGGGGCCCCCCGATCGCCGAGCGCGATGCGATAGTAGCGTCTTGCGTGCCTGAGTTTGGTCCCCCCGCGGCCCCCGAAAAGCCGCGCACCAAAGGTCACTCTTACCCAGGGTCACTCTTGCGTGTAGCCGAGGAAAAGATACCCGTACCCTGACCTGCCAGGAGGTCTAAACAGTCGCGCCACTACCTCGGCATCCAAATACCTGTCGAGGCTTTCGGGCAGTCCAGGCAGGTCTATAGGTCTGGAGGGCCCTTTTTGTTCGCACTGGAAGGTCAGGGTACTGCTACCCCGCGCCCGTTTTCCCCTTTTTCGGCCTCCTGGGAGACCCCCGTCGCCACCGCTGGATTCGCCTCGGAATTCTAGTCAGACCGCACCCCGGGAGAGGTCCAGGGGGAGAAGCGGTATGGGTACCCTTCGGCGTCCCTAGTTCGAGTCAGCTCGTGGGCGACAGGCATCTCCGTGTCCGCGGCCTCGCGGGCCGGGCCCCTGGAGTGAAGGCGGGCATGTCCCTCGACACGAGGAGTCTTCCAGAATAGGGACAACAGATAGTCTGGTGACGATGTGTCGTGCTCTGTTTTGACTACTTTTTATTTGTCTTACCGAATTCGCCTGTAGGAGGACATGCCCGACCTGACCCCGTTTACTAGTTCAAAGCGTATGCCTAGTCCTCTGTTTGGCATCACCTTACCCCGGTGCCAGTCCAGAGGATTCCCGCAGTTCCTGAGGGCATATCGGAGGCGGAAATGAGGGGGGTGATGACTAGGGGGGGGGGATATCATGGCGTGGGCCAGGATATTTCCCCAGATTTCATGGTGCCTCTTTTTATTTCATCACGTCCCTGGCCCCCCCCGCGGGGCCGCGCACATGCCGCCGGTCATGATTTGCACCTCCCCCTCTTGGACACCCCCCTCTTGGCCGCTCCCGAGCATATCCCTACGTTCGTCATCGCTTGGGGCTTGCCGATCTTGGGGATAGGGAAAAGGTCGAGGCCGGTTGGCTGGGCCGCGACCCCGCGCATGCAGGGCGTTTCTTTGCGGATGCCCCGCGCGGAGCGTGTCCGTGCGACCGCGTTTTCGCGGGCTCGCGCCCCGGAATCCAGACCGCGATGGCGCGGATGCGGATATGTTCGCCGCTCGGGAGCAGCGGCGGCTGTCTCCCCCAGCAGTGTTTTTCGCCCAGGGTTTCGTACGTCTGTCCCTGAGGAGGGGGATGGGTCCTGCCAAGTTTCGCCACGCTGCACCCCGTGACGGCCGCGTGGCCGCGTCGTGCGTTTGGCGGGTTCGGCCAGGTTTCGCCACGTTGCCGCGTGCGGCCGCCGCACCACGTATACTGGGCCGCGTAGCTCACACCTCATGGCCTGCGCCACATACCCCAATCCCCGACGTCGCGATTTTTGTTCACAGCGTCGACCCCCAGAGGCCCGCCGAGGCCGACATTGGCCCAAAGCGGTCCCCCCGCAGGCCGAAACTAGTGAAAAGCCCCCCGTCGTCATTTTCTGACAACGCGAGGGGGTCCGGGCATGGGGTCCACGCTGGCCAGTCGGCCAGTCGGCCGGCCGGTCTGTCGGGGAGTCGGCCAGTCGGGGAGTCGGCCAGTCGGGGGTCGGGGAGTCGTCCATGCAGTCGGACAGCTGGCCAATCGGACAGTCGGCCAGTCGGCTAGTCGGCCAGTCGGCCAGTCGGCCAGTCGGGGAGTCGGCCAGTCGGCCAGTCGGGGAGTCGGGGAGTCGGCCAGTCGGGCAGTCGGCCAGCAGCTGGCCCTCCGTCCAGCTTGGCCTCCCGGGGGGGCTGCCCGCCGCCACGGCCAGCTGCGCCGATCGGCAGAGCGGGTCAGGCTGGACCCCAGGAGGGTCCCGAGTAGAGATCGCGGCGAGCGAGGGGGGGAACATTGAGGAGGAGAAGGCCTGGTCAGAAGGGCCCAGGCCTTCCGAGAAGTTTCCTAAGTCTTCCCCGGAGACGCAGAACATGTTTCAGAAGGCCGGAGGGCTTCTGAGAAGCCCTGCCGCCCTCAAAGAAGGCCTCTTCCTTCTCCTTCTCATTTCCTCCCCTCGGTCGCCGCCGAGCAGAGTCTCAGCGGGGCAGTCCCGCCCGGCCCAATCCCGCTGTCCCTGGAACACTCCAGGGGTCCACCCCCTAACTTTCCAGTGTGCCTATCTGGACTGCCTAAAGCCTCGTCAGAGATTTGGATGTCGAGGTCCTGGTGCTATTTTCTAGCTCCCCTGGAAGGTTAGGGAGGAGGGTCCCGAGTACTGAGTCTGAGCGGGACAGTCCCGCCCAGCCCAAACCCGCTACACCTGGAGATCTCCAGGGGTCCATCCCTGCCGTGACGCCGAGACAAACCACAGGACCCAGACCCCCGACTTCGTAATTTTGTTCGCAACTTCGACCCCAGACCCTTTTCCGGTGGTCCCGGTCGTTCGTCCTGGAGGCCGGCGTTGCTTGACGGCCCCGGCACCCGGTGAGGGCCCCCCGATAGGCCGCAGATGGCGAGAGACATCCCGTCGCGATGTTTTCACAACGCCCAGAGGTCAGGGTTCGGATGCAACTCCTGGGAGGTCAAATTCTGATCTTGCCCTCCCTGGTCCGAAATCCGGCTTCATCCGGCTTGATCCCGCTTAATCCGGCTTGATCCCGCTTGATCCCGCTTAATCCCGCTTAATCCGAGGCCGACTCTGGTGTAACAGCCCCCCAAATCGGCTCAATCCTCCGTAATCCTTCCGACGAAGACCTTGACCTGGGGAGGCCCAAACCGAGGGGACGAGAGAAACGTGCCAGAGAAGCCGCCGCCGCGGCCTCGAGCGGGCCTTCCGACGGACGGCGAGAGGCCGCGGCGCCCTGTCAGCGGCGCGCCGCCGCCGCCGGTCGGGGCGCCGGGCGGCGAGCCGGCGGACCTGCAGCGGTCCCTGTCGCTGCCGGCGTCGGGCTCGGCGCGGGGCTCCGCCTGCTCGTCGCAGGCCGCCGGCACCGAGGATGGCAGCTGGGCGAAGGTACCAGACCCTCCTCCTTCTCCTCCTCCTCCCTCCGCCTGTCTCCTCCTCATCCCTCCTCCTCCTCCTCCTCCTCTCTCCTCCTCCCTCCTCCTCCCCCTCCTCCTCCTCCTCCTCCCTCCTCCTATCCTTCCCCTCCTCCCTCCCTCATCCTCCTCCTCCTCCTCCTCCTCCCTCCTCCTACTCCTCCCTCCCTCCTCCTCCTCCTCCTCCTCCTCCTCCTCCTCCTCCTCCTCACTCCTCCCTCCTCATCTCCTCCCTCCCTCCTCCTCTCCTCCTCAGACTCCTCATCCTCCTCCTCTCCCATCCTCCTCCTCCTCCCTCCTCCTCATCCTCCTCCTCCTCCTCCTCCTCCTCTTCCTTCTTCTCCTCCTCTTCCTTCTCCTCCTCCTCCTCTCCTCCTCCTCCTCCTCGGATTCCTCAGACTCCTCCTCCCTCGTCCTCGCGTCATGTGAACAAACTCGCGACCGGGGGGGGGGGGGGCGTGCGCTGCTTTTGGCCTCCGGGGGCCCTGACCAGGCCCAGGACCGTCAGAAATTGACTCAGGCTGGCCACAGGGGAGGGGTCTGGACCTCTGGGGGTCCACGTTGCGACAAAAATCACGATCGTCGGGTGTCTGGTATACCGTTCCTTTTCCCCCCTTTGCGCCCATTTGGATGCCTCCTGAGCGGCCCTCGTCGCCCATTTGGATGCCCCCTGGGTTCGAAGTCCTGGTCAGAGTGCGCCCCAGGAGAGGTCTGGGGAGGGGCGGCACCAGTGGCTTCTGCTCCCCAGGATCACCTTGAAGCAAGCGGGCCCTGAGGGCAACGGGTCCCAAGGCTCTTCGGGTGCTGGGGCCCCCGGGCCCTCCACTCGGGCCCCGGGCCCGCTGGTTCCGGGCCAGGGCCCTTTGGGGAGAGGCCCCGGCGTCCGGGGCGCCCGTCCCTCCGCGCGCCCCCGCCCGCGGCATGCCGAGAGGAGGCCGCGTCGTCGACGTGGAGCGGCGCCGCGCAGGGCAGGGCCGATCTGGAGCAGCTGATCAACCAGATGCACCCATCGCTGCGCCCCGCGGCGCGGGCCCACGCCGCGGAGACCCGGGGCACGGTGGGCGCGGACGCGAGGGGCCGCCGCGGGGGCGCCGGGGCTCCGCAGCAGGGCGCCGCGAAGAGGGCGTCCGTGCTCGCCGCGGAGTTCTACGCGAAGAAGGAGCAGCGGGAGCGGGAGGCGCAGGCGGTGCAGGAGCGCCGGCAGGTGCTCGAGCGCTGGGAGCTCCAGCTGCGCTCCGGCGAGGCCATGAGCGAGGACCAGCTCTGCTGCATCCTGGTGGAGGCGGAGATGGACCCGAGGCTCCGCATGGCGGCGGCCCTGCGGCTCGCGCGGGCGCTAGCCGCGCAGAACGCGGGGGGGAGGGCCCGTTTCCTCAGCGAGCTCGAGGCGTCCGGGGTGAACAGAACCCCCCAACAGTGACACGTCGATTACTTGATTAGTGAATGTAATTGGTTTTAGGGTTTTAAGAAATGCTCGCAGCCACGCAGAGGGCGTGCGTAGCGACGCCCCAAATGCTCGGTCTCCAGTACTTCTACATGGCGGCGCCCCCGCAGGCACGCAGAGGGCACGCGTGGCGACGGGGGCGTCGCCACGCAGAGCTTCTAAAGACCAAATTATTTGAAAGCCAATTGTTTCCACTACCAAAGTAGTGAATTGTCCGTTTGCGGTTCTCGTGAGGGCGCCGCGGCCGTCATCTTCCAGGCTTGCGCCCGCCAGGTTCTGGCCCGAGGTCGTTTTCACCAAACCGCGTGTTGCTAAAGGGGGTTCTGTCCATCCCCGAAGGCGATGATTCTCAAGGGCAGCGCGCTGCTGCTCGCAGACCCCACCAGCGCTCTGGAGCTGGCGAACCTGATGGGCAAGGAGCTCGGCAGGCCCAACCTCGAGGAGATGATCTGCGCCGAGCTGGAGAGGGAGGCCATGCGGCTGCCCCCCAGCAGGACCAACCCCTTCAGGTACATGCTCGTGGACCTGGCCGAGCGGCGGACCCCGAAGCCCGCCGGCGAGCGCCGGCAGATGAAGCGCACCGTGCGGCAACTCCGGCTGACCCTTGAGCTCGGCGCGGTCACGTTCCAGAGCCAGGGCGCGCAGCAGGAGGAGGAGAACGCTTGGGCGGCCCCCGGCGGCCAGCCGCACGGCGACGGCGTCGGGCACCTGCGCGGCCTGCAGAGGCGCGAGTCGCTGAAGCTGGGCCCGCCCCGGAGCCCCAGCCACGGCGACGGCGCCTCCTCCGCCGGCGAGGAAGCGTCGGAGAAGAAAGCAGTGTGCAGGCGCAGGCATGGCTCGACCTTTGGGGCTCTGCGCCGAGCTCTCGGGTCGGCTCCGGACCCCCCTTCCCTTAAGTCGGGCCCGTCGTTCTACAGGGGGAGTATTCAAAAATAGTCAAAAAATAGTCGGGGGACGATCTTTCCAATTTTTCAACAATTGTTGAGTATTGTTTGGCTATCTTCAATGTTTCGTCCAGGATCCCCCTGTAGGGGGGCAGGCGCGACCGAACCCTTCCCTCCGTGCGCGGAGCGCGCCGGGGGGGGGGGGCGCGCGGGGCCGCGCGAGGGGGCCCGGCGCCGACGCAAGGAGCCAGTGCGGGGAGTGCAGGAGCTCCGTGCGCGTGCCGTCGTTTGTGGCCTGCCTCTCAGGAGGAGGAGGGCGTGGAGAGCGAGAGGCCCACGGCCAGGAGGAGGAGGAGAGGCGAGAGCGTCTCGTCCGACGAGGTTCCGGGGGGAACAAGCACAGAGGCCCGACACCAGTGGTCGTGGACTTCAGTGAAGATGTGGGGAACTGCGGGAAGTGGGGGGGGAAGACGAACACCCAGAACATGTAGCAAAATATAGGGGAAGGCTGGGATTCGTGTCGATTTATTCGGGTGCCCCTGGGCCCCCTCAGAGGTGCTGGACGAGGAGCACTCCCCTGGCAGCCCGGGCCGAGCGCGCGACATGTGGAGGCTTGCTGCCGAGGTGCCGCCTGCGGTCCGCGACCCGCGCTGCGAGGTGAAGGCGCGCGCCCGCGCGCGCGCGGTTTTTTTTGGGGGGGTGGCGGGGGGGTCCGACGAAGGCGTCTATACACCACCACCGAGCCAGGCCAAGGCCATCCTGGGCCACGGGATGGTATGTGGGTCCCCCTGGCCTCGGCCGGGAGGGCGTATTAGCAGGAGGGAAGAAATCATTAGCCCAAAACATACCCGGACCCGGGGTCAGCTGGGGTGAAAAGGGCCGCCCGCTAGAGCGTTTTCGGCCTTGCCGCCACCTCGTCTGGGTACGGGTCGGTGCCCGAAACAACCATACATACCCGGACCTAGCTGGGGTGGTGGTTGGGTCACCCCGTCTAGGTACGGGTATGTATGGTGGTTTCGGGAACCGACCCGGACCCAGGGGGGGTGATGCCCCGAGGGCCCCTTGCCACCCCGTCTGGGTAAGGGTACGGGTATCTTTCGCGCTCGAGAAGAAAGCACACAGACACAATGAATCGTCGATCCCCTATAAAACATTGGAAAAATGTGGAAAGTGTAGGGGGGGGATACAAAAACCAAGGAAATATGCGGAAATATGTGGGATTTGGTTATCTGTGTATATTTATTTGTGTGTCCCAGCTCCCCTTCAGTATACACCATGCCATGGCCAGGGCCAGGATGGCCCTGGCTCGACACGGTGGTTGTGTGTAGATGCCTTTTGCGCAGGGGGCCTCGGTAGCGAATCATGGAGGATGGAGGATGTCAGAGGAGGAAAATCGGACATTGGAGCATATACGTTACCAGTGGCGGGCTGCTTTTCAATGCCACGACTTCTTGACGGTCGGGGATGACGTCGGGGCGGTGTGGTGTGCACTTGTTGTTTCGGTTTCCAGAGGGGCATGACGAGAAATGTATACACCAAGATCCCGTAGGCACCAAGGGAAATCGAAGAAGGTAATAATTCATAAGCATAAGCTTTTGGCGCTCTGCGCGGATTTCTTGGATCAGCGCAAGGCCCCCCGGAAGTGTTTCCGGCGCCGCCCCTGGCGCGCAGTATTCATCACCCGTGAGCAACGTTTGTCAGATTTGCGCAGCACTGATCAGCAGCGGGCAAGCAGCGGACAGCATGAACCAATAGAAGGCAAAAAGAAAAGCCAGTGATCAGTTCTGAAAAGCGCTGGCCAGCGGTGAACAGCCAGTGACCAGCACTGGGCACCAGTGAGTAGTAGAACTGGGTGTGAGCAGGCAAAGAGCAGCGCTGGTCAGCACAGCTCAGCGGTAGGCAATCCGACAGACTGAGCGCAACACTAGGCAGCAGAGAACACTAGTGCGCACCAGCAGTGAAATTTAGCAGCACGACTAGCAGTGGGCCATCAATGAGCGGTGGCCCTCAATTGTCAGCAGGAAGTTGGCAGCACATTTCATCACTGCGTGGCGGGCAAGCATGGGCCAGCAGATAGAGCACCACTGAGCAACGCAGAGCGCCGTGGGTCACCATAGCGTGCGTGTTTTTGTTTGTCTGTGTTTTCTTCGTTTGCCTCGTGCTTGTTAATTGTGTTTGTTTGTGCTAGTGAGCGTTGTTGCCGTTGGTATTGCGTTTGGTTTGTGCGCCCGTGTTTCGTGCTTGAACGAAGGACGATCACAACGGAACGCCATCGAACAGCATTGGACAGCGGTGGGCGACAAGCTGGCGGCGAACGCCACGAATTGGCATCGGCGAGCGATTGGCGGCCAGCTGTGAGCAGCAACGAACCATCAATTAGCAGAGGCAGTTGGTCAACGCGCAGGCAGTGAGGAATTCAAGGTCACTGTTTCATTCCGCGCTGCTTGCTCACTGCTCGTGCACTGGTGTCAAATTCTTCTCGCTGCTGATCACTTGTGCCCGCGCCTTGTTCCCTGATTGATCATTGGCTGCCTGTTGCTTGCTCTTCGACTCCTCGTTGCTGCTCGCTGGTGCTCGCTGCTGCTCACTGCGCCCCACCGCATGCGACTGATGGCTTACTAATCACTGCGTGCCCATGCTTGCTTACTGATCACCGCTGCAGCTCGCTGGATTCCTCCGGCTGTGGACGTGGATTTCGCGGAGGGGGGTGGCCAGCGAACGACCGCGCGCAGCAGCCACCGGCCGTGAGCATCGCTGGGGAGCAGCTCAGAAACGCAGAGCAGTCAACTTCCAGCGCGCCGTCAACCAGCGCGCAAGCGTCATCCAGCTCGCAAGCGTCAACTGGCGCTCCGCAGTGGGCAGAATTGAGCCACCAGTGGACATCAGCAAGCAGCAAGAAGCAATCATTCATCATGCAGTAGCATAGTAGTGCTCATGTAGCAAACCGCACTCAGCAGCACTGGATGGCAGGCGGCACCAGGGAGCACCAATGAACTCCAATGATCGCCACCGAGCAGCACTGGCCAGCACGGAGAAGTCTGTTCATTTCAGTGAGCAGTATTGCGAATCTGAGCCCAGGCAGTGATCTGCTGTGAGCGAGTTGCGATCTGTGGTGATCAAGCTGTGGGCAATTTTAGAGCCTGCAGTGGGCCGACAGCGCGCAGCAGTCCTCGATAGTGAAAACCATTGCTCAGCAACGAACACCAGTCCGCAGCGCTGGTCAGCACTGCGCAGCAGCAGCCAGGGGTGGGTGTGCAGCCTCCAGCAGAGAACAACATGAAGTAATTAGACGAAAGCGCCAGGAGGAGGCACTGGAGTGGGCAAGCCCTGAGCATGCACTGCGCAGCACCGAGCGGCGCTGGGCACCTGAGTATATACTCGCGAGCAGCGCTCACCTAAGCTGAGCAGCGGGGGGGAGGCACTGCGCATCGTTCGGCAGCCGCTGGCACCGCCGAGCACGAGTGAACAACCTTGGGCGTTCTCAAGCGGCGCGCAGTCGTGATGAACAGTGAGCAGCAGCAGCAGCGGCAGTGATCGGCAGTGGGCCATGCAGCACGGGGCGAAGGCACGAGCCAGGACGGGGCCGGAGCTTACTTGGCACGAGACCCGGAAACGAACGACTGCGCCGTACCGGGAAGCTGAGACGACGATGACTCTATAAGCTTGCCTGGCAAGAGGTCGAAGGGTTTCGCGCGCAGAGAGGCTGAGGGAGACGTGGGGCGACGCCCCCGAACCGACACCCCGGAATCCCCCTGGCCTCGGGTTTGGATGGTTCGGTTTCCGTGGGACGTTTGCAGCGCGAGTTCGCGTCATTGGGTCTCGTCGATTTCATGGCGGCCCCGTCAGGTCCAACCCAGTCTTCCAAACTCGAGTCTTGCGTCTCCCCGACTAGGGGCCCTTCCAGCACAGGCTGTTGCGCTTAGGTTCAGCCCCCTTTGATCACCTTGGAGCCGCGCACGAAGGGTCACTCTTGCCTAAGCCACTTTCACGTGTGGCCGATCCCTGCACTTTCCAGTTGGCTTCGGGAGTGTCTGACCCAGACCTCTCTGGCAACTTAGATCAGCACTTGCAACTGCGACTGGACACTTGTTTTGCGCCTGGGCGCCGTTTCTGGGCCGGGCGACCATCAGACAACTCCCCAAAGCCTCGGGAGGTAGATTTGCGCAGCTAACCGCATGCCCCGGATAATGAAGCATCCCCCCTTAAGATTTGAGTGTTGATTATCCCCGGCCAAGACAGTTTTGGTCGGCGGCGTGGAGCGGCGGGGCCGAATTTCATTATCCCCAGTGAAAGTACGAATCGTAGATTGGATTTTCTCATCATGATTCATCCTTCTTGTCATTCATGTGAGGATGTCTCAGGCGAATCGCGCCGTTTCGAAGACTCGCCGAGTTCGCGAGGTGAGGATGCCTCAGGCGGCCCCGCCTCAGCGAGCAGGGGCTCACTACACCGTAGCATTCCTCAGGATTCCTCCTCCTCCCCCCCCTCCCGGGAGGCCCCGCCAAGAGCGAGCGGGGCATCGCTCTGCCATAGCAGTTCTCAGGATCTCTGCTCCTGCCACCCCTCCCTCGGCGCTCCGCCAGGGACGTCGCGCTCCGCCGAGAGGAAGACGAGCTGCACGACCCCTCCCCGTCTTCCCCAGCGTCATTCTCGTCAGCCTGTCAGCAGTTTCCTCAACGTCCTCGGCATGCCCCTCGTCAGTTTTCCTCAACGTCCTCGGTATGCCCCTCGTCAGCCTTTCAGCATTTTCCTCAACGTCCTCGGCATGCCCCTCGTCAGTTTTCAGCCTGTCAGCATTTCCCCCGGGAAGATGTTTACTACGGCGGCGGCATGGGATAAGGAACGTCGTCCTGGGGCCAAGACCCTGGCGCATTCCTTGTTGTTTCATGGCGAGGTGGGTGGCCCACGTTTGGCCGCCCATCGGTCGCGAGACCCTGGGTTCTAGTGTGGAACCTGCGCGGGACGGGGATGGGAACGGGTAGAACCTGAGCGCGCGCGTGGTTCTAGTGTGGAACAAATAATGGCATCTGGATATGAGGCTTCATGGATGTTGGTTGGAATCTCGTGGTTTGTCTGTCGGGGAGCTCCGGGAGGCAGTTTTAGAGCCTCTTGAGGCCTCTCTGGGGCAGGTTTGGGGGAACCTTGGGGCCCCTTTGGGGCCTCTCGGGGGCCTCATGGGGTTTCTTGGGAGCCTCGTGGGGGCCCCTTGGGGCCTATTGAGGGCCTCTTGGAGCTTCCTGAGGGCCTCTTGGAGCGGGAGGCTCGCATTTTCGGTTCCGGCTCCCCGTCTTGGGCCCCTTTGGGGGCCGTCTCGGGGCCGTCTTGGGGCCGCCTTGGGCGCCTCTTTGGCCGTCGTGGGGCCCTTTTGGGCCGTCCTGGGGCCCTCTTGGAGGCCTCCTGGGCTGTCTCGGGCCTCTTGGGTCATCTTGGAGCGTCGGAAAGCAAAGAAGGCGAGGAGGTCAAAATCCGGCTAAAACCCGCCGACAATCAACGAGTTTGGCTCACTGGGCCCCTCCTGGGGAGGCCTCTCGGAGGCCTCTCGAGGCGTCTGGGCGGCCTCTTGGGCCGTCGTGGGCCCATCGTCGGCGTCTTGGAGCGATCGTTCGGCGACTCGGGGCCCTCTCTGGGCCGTCTTGAGGGCTTCTCGGGGCCCTCCTGGCCCGTCTCGGGGCGCTCTTGTGCCCGAAAGAGTCATGCGACAAGATGCGACGAGGCCCAGAGGAACCGCGGGAGGCCCCGGCAGATTGGAGTATTTGGGGTCCAGGGCCCTGAAAGACTCCTCAGGACTGAGGACTGAGGCTCAGGGGATTGGCCAAAGGACCTGAAAACATCGACCCCAGACCCCCCAGGCCCTCCAAGATAGCCTGGAAGAGACCCCCCCCGAAATGAGACCCCCCTCCCTTGATTACGAAATCTGGAGTACCCCTGCATCCTTGCCTCCTCGGGTCCATCCTTGGCCGCCTCCGCTGGCCGCGCCCAACTCGAAAAAAAAAGCCTCCACATGGTTTCCCAAGGCCTTTGCGTCCTTGCTACGAATCCTTCTGATACCGGGGGGGAACATTGAAATTACCCTTGCGACGTACCCAGCCCCTGCGCAATGCGGGGCCTGAGAAGCTTGGGAGACGTTCTACGGAGGTGATGACGTACGCCCCCATCGGCGGCGACAGTTTCGCAGATCGCAGCCCCCATCGTCGGCGAAGAAAGGGCAGGAGGAGGCGGGAGGCGGGAGGAGGAGGACGCGACCACACCCCTCTATTCAAAACGAATACCCAACCAAGGAGGGATGGGAAAAAACACGTGGAACTCGTACGCCCTCCCAGCCCGAAGTTTGGGTGTTCGGGTTGGGTTGGGGGTGGTCAGGTCGGCACCGCAGGGGCCCGACCACAGGAAGCCTCCCACGAGACGCCCAGACCCGACACCCCGGGACGCCCGCTGCTTCTTGGTGTGGGAGCGCCACGCGCTCCATAGCAACAACCATCGGCACCCAAGAACAACCCGGGGCACCCTGGAGGCGAGCAGGGTGCTTCTTGGCGTGGGCCGCGCGGCTGGGTCGGCCGCGCCACACGCTCGGAGCGCTCCGGGCCCGGAGCCGCCCGCCCCGCCCTTGTTTCCCTTCGGCCGCGCCCCTCCCTCCTCTCCTCCTCCTGCACGGTGGCATGCTTCGCTCCCGCGGCACCCCCCCGGTTCTACACGCCCTCGTCGCCAGCACAGAGTCGCCCCCCTCTGCATATAGCCGCCGACGCCAAACTGAAGGCTTCTCGGCAGGGGCCTCCACTGTTCGGGTCGGGCGAAAGGGGGGGGTTGGGGAAAGGGGGGGTACGAAATCTGCGGCAACATATGGGCGCCTCCCGGCGCCGGGAGGCGCCGGCAACATCAGCTAAACGCGAGCTGCTTCTCAAAGCCCCCCCTTTGCTGTCCCCCCCCTTTCGCCGGCCCGAGCTGTGCCGGTCGGGGCGCGGGCGCCCGCACCCCCCCCCCCCGTCGCCCCGCGCAGCACTTCGCCTGGCGCTTCGACGCCGAGCCCGGGGTGCCCGACGGCCGGCTGCGGGCGCGCGCCGCCCCGGCCCGGGGGAGGGGGGGGGGATGGCCGCGTGCCCTCGGGGGCAGCGATAGGTGGGGGGGGGGGGGAGGAGGAGGAGGAGGAGGAGGAGGAGGAGGAGGAGGAGGAGGAGGAGGAGGAGGAGGAGGAGGAGGAGGAGGAGGAGGAGGAGGGGAGGAGGAGGAGGAGGAGGAGGAGGAGGAGGAGGAGGAGGAGGAGGAGGAGGAGGAGGAGGAGGAGGAGGAGGAGGAGGAGGAGGAGGAGGAGGAGGAGGAGGAGGAGGAGGAGGAGGAGGAGGAGGAGGAGGAGAGGAGGAGGAGGGAGGAGGCGGAGGGGAGGAGGAGGAGGAGGAGGAGGGGGGAGGGGAGGGGGAGGGGGAGGACGAGGAGCGAGGACGAGGAGGGAGGACGAGGAGGAGGAGGAGAAGGAGGGGGAGGAGGAGGAGGAGCTCGCGTCGAAAAAAAAGCGCGACGAGAGGGTTTGGGCCGTTTTCGGCCTCTGGGGGGGGGTGGCGGATGCCAGGCCAGCCACGATTGGGGGAGCTGTGGTCCTTACCCCCCTGGGGGGGGCCATCGATTGCGACACCCCTCTCGCGAGAGATCGTCGAGGCCAGGGATTCCCCCAGGGGGGGTAAGGACCACAGCTCCCCCAGTAATGGCTGGTCGGTATGCGGGGGGGTACGTCGACCCCCAAGCATCCATTGATCGCCGATGGGGTCCCGATGGCCCCAGCCTGCCCAGGAAGGCGCGGCTTGAGGGTCGGGGGCCTGTCGCCGATCTATCGGCGATAGATCGCCGAGTCCAGGTCGATGCATTGCCCCCTATGCCAGCCCCCCCTATCGTTGCCCCTCGTGCCCTCTCTCGGGCAGTGGCGAAGCGTCCTTCTAGGCCTCCTAGATGGGGTCGGAGCAAATGGGGTCGGAGGATCGCGCCGCATCGCCGATGCATCGCCGATGCGGTTCGATGCGAAGCCCGATTTGCTTCACGTCGACGTCGCCGATGTATCGCTGACGTCGACGATGCATCGCCAGTGCATCGTTCATGCATTTCCGATGCATCGCCGATGTAGCGGCGATGCGGCGCGATCCTCCGACCCCATCTTCTCGGACCCCATCCAGCAGGCCTCCACTCGAGCAATGGCGAAGCGTCTTGGCTTGCTCATAGGGCCACCAGAGAATGTTCTGAGAACCTTCTGCGGTCTCAGCCAAATGTTCTAAGAGCATTTGTGGCCGAGGCCGCCTCGTCTCAACACATCGGGCTTTTGTGTTCCAAGGGCGTTGCTTTCGATGTTCGAGCACTAGCGGGTTCTAGAATATTGTAGTGGCCTTCGGACAGTGCCGCCGATCCGGGGCGCTCCTCGTCCTCGTCCCTCCTCTCTTTTTCCCTCCCCTCCTCTCACTCAGCATTTATCCAGTGGCCGTCGGCCTATCCCGCCACCGTGCGTGGGTGGTGGGTCAGAGGCCTCATGGATGCTGGTTTGGATCTCGTGGTTCGCTGGGACTTCTGGGGGCCTCTTGGGCGCCTCTTGGGGCTTCTTGGGGGCCTCTTGGGCCTCTTGGGGCCACTAGAGGGCCTCTTGGGGGTCTCTTGTGAGCCTCTTGGGGCTTCTTGGGGGCCTCTTCTGCGCTCCTTGGGGCCTCTTGGAGGCCTCCTCGGAGCCTCTTGGTGCGGGAGGGGTGGTACTCGAGTTCGGAACCCCCTCGGAGGCCACGATCCTTGTGAGGGGTGTCAAAAAACGCATCCGCCGGAAACTCGCACCCCCCCGCCCCACACCCCCCCTTCCCCGGCAGAGCCACCCCGGCAACCCCCCCAGAGGCTGAGGCTCAGCCTCGAGGCTGTAGCTGAGACTCCTTGAAACTCACACGCCGGGTCGGCGGATTTTGTGGTAGGCCTATAGGAATGCCGGGACGGTTAGTCCCTGCTCAAATGTTTGTTTCCGTTGAACATAAGGGTCGAGGACGCATAAGTTAGGCATGCCCCTCTACGGGAGGATTATTCAAGAATAGTAAACAACATTATCTGGTGACGATCACCGTGTTCTTGTTTGTTACTTTTGATGATTTGCGAATTCATTTTATTGTTCTTCCAACATCCGCCTGTAAGACGACATTCCCGACCTAAGAGTACACTGGAACGCGGGTTTGCTGACGCGTCTTGACGAACGCGCCTTTGGTTTGGACGGTCAAGTTTTCGTGGGCTATTTGTAGCGGGAATTCGCGTCACATTTCAGATTGGGTCTCGTTGTTTGCATGGTGGCCCCGTCATGTCAGCCCGAGTCCCCCGAACCCGAGTCTAACGTTTCGCCGAAGTTTGCGGGGGTGGGTGCCCTGCAGTTTTGCCGGGCATTGCGGCGCGACCACATGCGGACGCGGCTGGTGTCTCCTTACTCGGCGGCGAGCGAGGACCGATGTCCTCTTCGTGCCCCGCCTGGCTTCGCCCGCAGGAGGCGGAAGGGGCGGAGGCGGAGGAGGAGGCGGAGGAGGAGAATTGATCCCCACCCGACTCTCGAATCGTCCCCCCCCGACGTTCTCCTCGTGCCCCTGGCCTCGCCTCGCCGCCGCGGCCCGGCTCAGCCGCCCGCCCCGCGGCGCCGTCGCCCCCCCGCGGCCATGTGGCGAGCGCTGGGCGGCGCCCGTGCCCCGCTGCGGCCCCCGCTGCTCCCGCGGGCGCGCCCGGGGGCCGGCCGCGGGGGCGGGCGCCCGGGTGCGGAGAGCAGGCCCCGGAGTGGAGCAAGTCTCGGGGGCGGCAAAGAGGGGGGTGATGACTAGGGGGGGGTGGATTTCATGGCGCGGGCCATGAGTTTTCCGCAGATTTCATGGCGCGGGCCATGGTTTTTCCTCGGGAAAATTCAAACTCAGTAAACACATGGTCTGGGGACGATGTTTCGACTATTTTCGAACATGCTTGAATATCTTATGCATGTTTTATTTTTCGTTCAAAATCCGCCTGTCGGAGGACATGCCCGACCTGACTCTTTGCCTCCGAGAGGGGGTCCGAGCATTTGGGGTCGGAGGATCGCGGTGCACCTCCGATGCATCGGCGATGCGGCGCGATGCGGAGCCGGAGTTTCTCCGCGCCAGCGTCGCCGTTGCCCTGTTGTCTTCCCTCTCGGGCTTCTTGGGTGGCCCTGGTCGCCACCGCTGGATTCGCCTCCAAATGTTGGTCAGAATGAACCCCGGGAGAGGTCTGGGGATTGGCGGTATCGGTACCTGTTGGTTTCTCCAGTGATGTGATTGCGGGGCGAGGGATCATCCACACCCACCGCCTGGGGGATCGATCTTCGGCGGCAGTTGTGGGGGGGTCCTCACGGACGGCAACAGTTGTGTGGTGTACCACCAGGCCTCCCAGATGGGGTCGGAGCAGGTGGGGTCGGAGGGTCGCGCCGCTTCGCCGATGCATCGGTGAAGCAGCTCGATGTGGAGCCGATGTTCTCTCTCTGGTGTTGCCGATGCACCGCCGACGTCGAAGATGCATCGCGGATGCATCGGCGATCCGGCCCTATCCTCCCCTCTGGCCCCATCTACTCGGAGCCTATCTTGGAGGCCACCACGTGCGGAAAACTATAGACCGACACTGATGCTGGCCGTCGGGGGAAGGAAATTCGGCACCACCGCCACCAGGGGGGCCACCTCCAGCCAGGAGGTCCACGATGCCTCCCCGAGCTGGGGGATAAGGGGCGTGTCTCAAGCGAGAGGGGGCGGACCACACCACCAGGCCGACCCCTTCCCCGGCTTCTCCCGCTGGTGGTCCCTGGTGGTGGTGTCGTTTTTCCTTGCCCCCAGACCAGGCCCACCGCGGGGCCCAAGATTGGTGCGTGCGGCGCCGTCCTGGCCGTGCCAGGACGGCGTGTGCGCACCGAGCCTGCGCCCCTTGGCACTGGCCTGGCCCAGGTCGGTGTCGGTGCGTGAGCTGCGGTACTCCTGCGGGGGCCTTCCCAGACATGCTCGCGGGATTGTTCGTCGTCTTCGGCCTCTGGGAGCCCTCGCGGGGCCCCAGAGCCGTCAACAGAGACCATTCAGGATTGAAGACTGGTCTCAGAGAAAGGGTCGGGACTTCCGGGGACCCCCCACGGAGAAGATTTGGATGTCGCCTGTCTGGGTTCACCTGCCTCCCCGCTCCTTGCGAAGTCGGGGAGCAGACAGGCAGCCCGACCCCCACACATGGCAGCTGGTAAAAAACAGCCCTGCGCGTCTGCGGACCAGTCCCACCCCGTTCGATTCCTTCCTAGGGTGCGTTTACTCAAGGGAGTCCGTCACTCGGGGGCCCCCAGACGGTGTGGTGACCACACCGTGCGGTGAGTCGGTGGGGATTCGAGGTCACCGCACGGTTTTGGGACTCGAGTCCCTCTCCGAGGATGTCTCGGGCGACAGGGGCCTCCAGGGTCCCAAGACCGTGCGGTGACGGACCGTGCGGTGAGGACTCTTGGGGTTCTGAGGTCACCGCACGGTCTGTCACCGCACCGTTTCGGGACTACAAAGTCACCAGCAAGGGTGCTTCTTGTGTGGGCAGCCTTCCGCCATCTAAGCGCAACCTACAATGACCTCCAGGGTCGCGGAAATGTCGCTCGCGAGGGGCGGCTCCTCCTTGCCTCGTCATCTGAGGGCCGCCTTTGGGCACCGGGATCGCGTTCCAGAACGCCTGCGGTGAGAACGGCTCCCAGGAAGGAAGGGGGGTTCAGGAATTCTGGCGCCAGTGTCGTGGGCAGAAAACGGCGTCGTGGGTGGGACCTCCTCCTTTGTTCGAGCATTAATTCTAGGCTGGATTTCTTCGGAGATCGAATGAGTGCAGCATCGGCGCTAGCAGTCTCTTGCGTCTCGATATACTCCTATTCCTGTCGAGTCTGGCTTCAAATCCAGGATGATCCTGCCTGATTCTGCTCATGCTCACTTGGGCCTAATCCGCCTCACTAGCCACTAACCCCCTCATGGGTCCCAGTAGTCCATAGTCGATATATCCCAAAAGTTGCCTACCGATTTGTTCTCGTCGTCTCCCCTTGCAGGCGGCGGCAGCCAGGCTTGGGCGAGAGCTCCGCAGGCTTTCGTGGGCGACCAACATATCCGTATCCGCGGCGTCGCGGACCCCGCCCCTGGACAGCGGCCCCGTGGCTACGGGGCGTTTTATCGCGGGTGCGCCGCGCCAAACGTATCCGTGCGACCGCGTATCCGCGGGACCGCGCCCCGGAAAAGCCATACCGCGAGGGCGTGGATCATGGAGACTCCAGGCCTCCCAGACGGGGTCAGAGTACATGACTGGAGGATTGCGCCGCGCCGCCGATTCCTCGGCGATGCGGCCCCCTGCAGAACCTGATCTCCGTGCGACCGCGCATTCGCGGGACCGCGCCCCGGAAGCCAGACCGCGAGGGCGTGTCGGGAGCCTCGAGACGGGGGTCAGTGCAGACGGGGGTCAGCCAGAGAGCCGGATCTTGCAGGATCCTGCAGCGCCAGGGTCGCATTGACCCAGGCTTGGGTGCAGGATCCTGCAGGATCCTGCAGGATCCTTCGCACTGACCCGGGTTTGGGTGCAGGATTTTGCAGGATTTTGCAGGCCTGATTGACCCGGGTCTGGATTGACCCGGGTCAGAAGATCCCCGAGCGTGGATGCGGATGCGTTCGCCGCTCGTGAGGTTTCGAGGTGCTGGGCCGCCGCACCTTCAGCAGCGGGGGCGCGGGCGCCAGGACGCAGCTCGGGGCGTACCTGGAGAGGTGCGGTGCCACCTGGGGCGACGCGGCAGAGGCCCGCGCGCACGCGCCCGCAGTGCATGGGGGCTCCTCCTCCGCCTCCTTCCTTCTCCTTCGCCTCCTCCTCCTCCCTCCTCCTGCCTGCTCCTCCGCCTCTTCCTCCTCGTCCCTTCTCCTCCTCCTCTTCCTTCTCCTTCTCCTTCTCCTCCTCCTCCTCCTCCTCCTCCTCCTCCTGCTGGGAGGGGTCTGGGGAGTAGCGGTATCGGTACCTTCTGGTATCCCCGGACATGGTTTGATTGTTCCAGCTCAGGCTGATCAAGGTGTCTTTGCGTGAATTTCTTTGTTGTTTCGGGCTGGTGGCATCGACACCTGCGTATGCAGTGAACTGAACTGAACCGATGGGGGTTGTCACAGAAGGGGCTCGTCACGGACGATGTCAGTTTGGCCGCGCCCGAGAGGCAGTTTGTGCAATTTTGCAAAAACGGTGCAGTTTCGCAGACGGCCGCGGTCCGCGTTGTGGCGAGCAGTGTAGCATTCTCCATTTGGTTGCCGCCTGACAGCGCAGTTTTCAGCGTTCCGTCCCTAGCCACCATAGCACAGGGACGGCGACCCCAACAGGAAGATGCCTTTGGTGGACGCACATCAGGACTGCACCAGGGTCGCCCAGGATGACTATAGTTGACAAGCCGGCCTAAACATATACTTTCAGATCGGAGGAAGATAGACCCCTCCGTGTCAAGCCGACTGGCAAACTGTTTTCTTCTCGAAAGGGTGATTCGCCCGCAATGGTTGCGGGTTCTGCGCCCGCTGGGTCTGGTCCCCCGGATCGCTTTTCACAAGGAAGTTTTGTTCAGTGATCGTTGTCTGATTCATTGTTTTGCCGAGCGGCGCGGGCCCGTGAGGGTCACATAGCAACCAGACCGGCCACTTTACAACCAGATGGGGCATTTTGCAACCACGGATGTTCCCAGAAGTGCATTTTACAACCAGGAAGACCACTTTACAACCAGGCGAGTAAACGCATATAAGCGACACACGTTCTTCAATTTCCTAAATCTCCGTTGGTCCCGGTAAGGGAGACACTTCCCTTTCTGAAGCGTGTTGGTTGTAAAGTGACCCGTCTGAAGCGAGAATTTGTGAAGTGGCGGACTCCTGATTGGATCCAGCAAGAGTCCTATTATAATCCTACTGGCACCCTTCCCACTGATGAATCCCATTCGTGGGTATCCAACAAGATTCCTCGATATGGGGCCTACGGGTGTCCTATTAGAGTATGATGGGGATGGCTCCTATTGAAACCCGTTGGGGCCCTTTCTAATGGAAACCGATTGGGACCCCGAGGAATTACAATCGAGAGCCCTTCCTATTATCATGCTGCGGGGAACGCGCTGGGGGTACTATGTGGAAACCCGGTCGGTATTCTTGTGGGGTCTCATTCGACATCGCATTGAAATACAATCATAATCTTCCTTTTCGACCCATACGAGCATATTGCTGGGATCCCACCAGGAACCAACTGTAACTCAACAAAAACGTGTCCTCTTTCACTCATCTTGTGCACATATTGGCGTCGTATTGTTATCCTTGTATCCAAAAGGAGCTATTGGAACCCAGTTGAGATCAAATAGAGATCCTCCCTCTACAGGCTGGTGACAGGCCTGGGCGGTTTAAGTTGTTTTTGGCGTCCATGCCCTAAGCCTGCATCGTTTTTTGGAGCCTCATAACCTGAGCCTGACAATCCGGCCTCTTGCAACCGTCTGTTTTCGCATGTGCGGAAGCATGCGCACCCGGGAAGCCGGAAATGTGGCTAGAAAACCGTTGGCGAATTTATAGCCAATACATGTGGAATTCAAATGGTTCTTCTTTGAATCAAAAACCATCTTTGTCAGCGCGCCTGATCGCCTGACAATAGCACAACAATACATATACCTATACATGTAAATCTGTATATGTGATATGTATACATGATGTACTCATAATTGCGAAAAACATGCGTGACCAGGAGGGCGGACATGCTGGCAAGAAATCGATGGTGCAGGTCTTGCCCATACATGTGGATCTCATTCTGTGTGTTCGGCCTCGCAAACAGCTTTGGCCTTCGCGCCTCATCGTTGGGCAATCGCAACACCGTATGTGTTCCCAGTCGCGGTCGCAGGCGTACCCAGGAGCGCGAAGATGTTCAAACGAAATCGACGGCAACAGTTTAGCCAATACGTGTGCATTTCACAGTGCGTTTTTTGTGTACAGTCAAAAACCCTAATAAGGACGCGCGACTTTGCTCAGGGTGCCCTTGCGTCCTTGCTCTTCCTTGCTCTTGCGTCGTTGAGCTGTTCATCGTCCCCCGCCCCAAAAATCCCAACTTCGGCTTCCAAGGGTCTTGCGTCCTTACAGCGCGTCCTTATGAGGGATTCTGACTATATCATGGACCATGTCCATCCTCGCGCCGCATCGCCCGACAATCACGAAAACAGCACGTCTTCTCAATTGCGAGAGCATGCGCGCCCAGGAAGCCCGAAATTTGGCCAAGACAGCGATGGCAACACTTGAGCCACGATGTGTGGATGCCGAACGTTCGTCCTCGTGCTTCGCCGTCTGGTAATCACAAAGCCACGTGTTTTCGCAGTTGCGGAAGCATGCGTACCGCGGAGGGCAGACATGTGGCAAAGAAACCGCTTGTAAAATTCGATTCCAGCCAATGCGTGTGGATTCAATATTTTGTGTGTGAGTGTGTTTTTGCTTCATGGGCCATGTTTATCCTCGCGCCCCACCGTCTTGCAAGCGCAAAACCGCCTATTTGCGCAATTGCGGCAGCATGCGTACCCAGGAGGGCGGAAAGCGCCTAAGAACCCGCTGGTTGAATTTTAGCCAACGCATGCGGATTTCAAACAGTATTAGCACTCTCTTCGCAAGTGTTTCATAGCGCTCAGGCGCTCGGAAGCCTCTGCAAAGCGCCCGAGCGCTCAGAAGCCTCGGCAGAGCGCTCAGGCGCTCAGAAGCTTCTACAAAGCGCTCAGGCGCTCAGATGCCTTTGCAAAACGCCCATGCGCTCAGAAGCTTCAGAAGCCCCTGCAGAGCGCGCGCGCGCTTCTGAAGGCTGGTTGTAAAGTGGCCGTTCTGGTTGCAAAGAGCCCCGTCTGGGTTGTAATGTGGTCGTTCTGGTTGTAAAGTGGGCTGTTCTGGTTGTAAAGTAGTCGTTCCCAAAAGGGAAACCAGGGAATTCGATCCTTTGCTGGTTGTAAAGTGGCCCATCTCGGTTGTAAAGTGTCGTTCGGTTTGTAAAGAGACCGGATCTCCACCTCCCCCCCTGGAGTAGATCTCGGCTGTTTTTGGCGCCTGTGTCACCCAGGTGGAGTCTACCCCCGCAGGACGCAGTGTTGCAGACTGTCGCATGAAGCAGAGGCCCGGAGCCCCTCCCCTTGACCCAAGGTCAACACGCCGAAAAAGAAAACGTTCGTTAGGACGGGGAGGAGGGGGAGGAGGGAGGGTGCGAGGAGGAGGGGGGGAGGAGCAGGAGGAGGAGGAGGTGGAGGAGGACGAAGGGGACGGGGAGGAGGAGGAGGAGGAGGAGGAGGAGGAGGAGGAGGAGAAGGAGGAGGAAGATGAGGATGAGGAGGAAGAGAAGGAAGAGGAGGTCCATGCGGTTTTTGTTGGATCGGCGTTGCGGGGCATCTTTGAGAGGCTCCGTGGCCACACTGCAGCCGTCTTGGAGCGGCCTTGGGGTCTCCAGGAGGCGTGCTGCCGACAACCTGGGGCACTCTTGGGTTATCTGAAGCCGTGCTGCAGACCATCCTGGGCCCTGGACTATCTAAAACCATTTTGGACGCTCTAGCCCCTCGGCGCCGCCCCCGGTCAGGACCCAGGGGAGGGGGGAAGGAGGAATCAATTTCCCAAGGGGTATTCCACAAGCCGTCTTGTTCACTCCCGCGGGTCCTCTCACCGTACAAGTATCGCCAGCGATTCGGCGTAAGCACAGGTCGCCATCGGATGGACAGTCGCTGTGAACTGATATACGCCAGGCGCGCGACGGTCGCGAGGTGCGCCAGGCGCACCATGTGCGCCAGGTGACCCAGAGGTCCAGGCGTGCCAGGTGCGACACGTGCGTGACGCGTGCAGGGTGCGCCAGGCGGCGCCAGGTGCGCCAGCGCATGTGTCAGAACACATCGATGACACGTCGAGTCCTTCACCGTCCCTGACAAGGTACGACCCCACCCAAAAGGGCAGCGGGGTGACCAGCTCGGTGTGTGTTCTGTGCTCCTGCAGTGTGCTTGCACTTGGCCGGCGCGCAGCCGACAACATATGCTCGCACACCCCGCCGTCCTGGTCAAAACGAATGCGAAGTGGTCGCACAGTGCTCGCTCATGGTGCACACTTTGCCGCCGCGTGCATGTTGTATAGCTTTTGACGGATGGCGGGGGGGGACTCGTGCTTCTTGGCTTGTGGATTGTCGAATGGGTGAGGGGGGCGTTCATTCATAAGGAGCAGGGGTGGTCTCCTCCCGAAGGGCAAAAGGGGGCTGGAATCCGCCCGAGAAATTCTTCCACTATGACCAAACACCTTAGAGGGTGTGCGAGGGACCGGGTCGTGGGTTTGGTATACACGAGTCCCTCCCCGAGTTTTTGTTCGTATAGTTCACGTGGCCCCGGGCGGCAGAATGTGACTGGGGCGGGGTTGGGTAGGGCATTGAAGACAAATCCAAAGGAGCTGAAAGAGGAAGCCCGATAAACCACCTGTGCCTCGAGGGCTGGCCGGACCGGTCAGGCTCGCACAAGGGAGCGCCGCGGCCCCGCCCGGACAGGTCCACAGCGTGGTGCCCAGCCCCTGCGGCCGCGAGTTCGTCTGGCGCGTGGACCTCGCGCCGGAGCGCCTGAGACTCCTGCGGCCCGGCGAGCCGCTGGAGTCGCCGCCCTTCCTCGAAGAAAAAACAACACCAGAAAGGTAAACGTTTGGCGCTCCGCGCGGATTTCTCGGATCTGCGCTGGAGCCCCCTCCCTGGCGCGCGGAGCGCGCCAGGAGCGGCGCTGGAGGCGCCGCCGGGGGGCCCAGCGCAGGTCCCAGAATTCCGCGCGGAGCGTCCAAAGCTCATGTTTCTGCCGTTGTCTCTTCTTCCGCTTCCAGCCGACCCCTGGGGGTGGCCAGGCGCGGTTCCAGCTGTTCCCCAAGGTCGGGCCGCACGAAAGGGGGGGATAGGGAAAAGGGGGGTTACGAAATCTGCTGCATGCAGCTGGTTTCGGCCCCACCGAGGGGCCCATTCCTCGATACATGGGCGCCTCCTGGCTCCGGGAGGCTCCGGGAAAATCAGCTACGCGAGCTGATTCTCAAACTCCCTTTTGTTATCCCCCCCTTTTGCCCGGCCCGACAAGGGCGACGCCGAGGGCGCCGCCGGGGGCGGCAAGTGCTCGCTGTGGCTGTGGAGCGACGCCCTGGAGCCCGCGCCCTTCTCCCTGCGCGTGGGCGGCACGCGGCGGGCCTCCGGGGCCTCCGACTTCTGTGCCCTGGAGGCGGGCGAGGAGGCGGAGGAGGAGGGGGGTGGGAGGGGTGAGGAGGAGGGGGAGGAGGGGTGAGGAGGAGGAGGAGGAGGAGGGGGAGGGGGCGTGTTGGAGGAGGAGGAGGGTGAGGGGAGGTCTCGTGCTGCGGAGGTGAGGAGGAGGAGGAGGAGGAGGAGGAGGAGGAGGAGGAGGAGGAGGGGGAGGGGGGAGGAGGGGGGAGGAGGAGGGGGAGGAGGTGGATGAGGAGGAGGAGCGCGGTCCTTGGCAGAGAGGGTCTCCCCAAATGCACGCAGCAGCTCGCGCAATCGAAGGATTCGGGCAGGATGCGCTGCGTTTTGCGTCGTTGGTTCGTGGGCGCCATGAGCCGCGGGATGAACCTGTGGCACATTTTTTGTGCGACCCCA